TCTACTTTGCTGTATTGTACTGTACTGTACTTTGCTGTATTGTACTGTACTGTACTGTGCTATGCTGTACTGTACTGTACTGTGCTGTACTGTCTGTGGCATGCTGTGCTGTACTGTACTGTACTGTACTGTACAGTACTGTGCTGCACTTTACTGTGCTGTTCCATGTTGTACTGTACTGTGCTTAACTGTACTGTACTGTCTGTGGCATGCTGTGCTGTACTGTACAGTACTGTGCTGCACTGTACTGTGCTGTTCCATGTTGTACTGTACTGTGCTTAACTGTACTGTACTGTACTCTGCTGTACTCTACTCTGCTGTACTCTACTCTACTCTACTCTACTCTACTCTACTCTACTCTACTCTACTCTACTCTACTCTACTCTACTCTACTCTACTCTACTGCACTGTGTTGTACTGCACTGTACTGTGCTATGCTGTACTGTACTGTACTGTACTGTGCTGTGCTGTGCTGTGCTGTACTCTACTCTACTGTACTTTGCTGTATTGTACTGTACTGTACTGTGCTGTGCTGTGCTTTACTGTACTGTATTTTGCCGCAGTATTGTCCTATTTAGGTGGGATGATCACAGAGTGTGTGGAGTGAGGCGAGGCTGTATGGCTGTGTGGCTGTGTGTTCACGGGTGGGAGTAAGGCGGATTTCGGGCCTACTTGCTACACTCAAGACCACTCATTCTGACCCAACTGCGGTCGCTTCATGCAGTGGACTGCCCTGTATACTTGTCTGTATAGTCGGTATTGGCCTTTGTCCAGCTATTGGTTCTTTCGTCCACGCAAGCGTAGTTTAGTTTTGTGCATTGTATCTCTGTTGTAGTTGGGGTTTGTAGTGGCTGTGTGTCGTGGACCACACATTCCAGCCATGCGTCAGCCCCGTGAGCACAACTCGATTGTATTGGCACGTGTATCCGCTTACTTACCCCTGACACACGCCGTGTGCTTGCGTGTACAGGTACGAAGTACCCTCGCCCATTCCATTCATGAAATTGCGAAGATTATCGGCCGCGAGAAGGCGGAGACCGACCTCGTGCCCACCTTCAGCAAGTTCCTCAATGATATGGATGAGGTCAAAACGGGGGTGGTCAAGCACTTTGTCGAGTTTATTTCATGTCTTTCTGAAACGAAGCGCCTGTCGTACCTTTACCAACTGGATGAAATTGTGCTGACATCAAATAAGCACAACTGGAGGTATGCCGTATCCTCTCCGTGACAGTGCAAATTTTGTCGGTTTATACGCACAATTGTATATAGCCGCCCCTTTCGCTGGCCACGGCTGCTTTCTGAGATCTGAGACCTTAAAAAAACAATCCTCTGTATTGTTGATTTTTGTTCCTGTGAAAGTACGTTTCTAAATTAAATACTAGGTTGCAGTTTGTAAAGTACGTTTTTATTTTTGTTTTGTTCTTGTCATGCATGTGTGTGTACGAGTATAGTATAAAGTACTGCATGCAACGCTGGTTTGCAATACAGACAGAGTGTTGTGCGATCTAAATGAGTATGTCTATTGTTCCGTGTGTGTGTCAACAGTTTTGGTACATTCCTATGTTTCACTTCAATTTCAAGTGCTATAAGTGCTAGATCGCAAATGTTTTCTTATATCTGCATACGCCTCAGTGTTCTTACGATGAGTATTGGGTGTTATACTACATGGCATGATGAAGAGAATTGTGTGTTGCAATTCTTCCTGGAACAATTCCATGTATCTTCGACCACTATCGTTAGTGGTTCGATGGTAGATACCTAGATTGATATGCACACATATTTACTGCTGGTAGTAGCGCCCCTAGTCCAAAAAGTATGTAGCCATTGGACTATTGGCGAGTGCGTGATATTTAATTCACTGCCAGAAGACTCGCCTACACTCCTCATCTGTACTAACTATAGTTCTACTTTCCTGGCTATAGAGCAATTTGCGAATTCGTGCGATGTTAGCACTTCAAAGATACTCGCACTGTAGTGACTGTACTCTGCCTCCTTCCTCGTAGCTATCGGGCGCTTCCCCGCCAACCGATGGGTGAACGTATGTGATATCTCTACTCTGCGCTGACCTCCTATACTCCACTCCCTTCCCTATTAGGTATAAGGTGCTCTTCATCGAGCAATTGGCGAACATGTGCGACATCTTCACTCCGGAGGAGCTGATGGATGACGACGGCGCATTCGCCCATTTAGTACTGCGCTTGGCTGAGGACGATATCTACTCAGTGAGAGAAGCGGCCTACGATTCGGTGTGTGTGCATGTTGTTTGTGCATGTATTTTGTTCTGCGTTTCTATGTGGACGGCGGGGATCTTTTGTACCGAACATCTTAGCTGGGTTTCTGGTTGCTTGTGCGGTTTGCTTGTCCGCCGTAGGTGAGTGGCTCACCATCTGTGGCAAAATGCTGTCGAATGCTCTCCGCCCATTGCAAGTGCGTGTCTTCCACATATTACGGTGGTAGTGATACTTTCAAGGGTCGTATATATGTATGTATACATAAATGTGTATGTTCCTATTAAAGTATTAGTGGTCCACAATCTGCTCCCATGGTCTCAAGATTCTGAAGCGCTGCGGTCTGGTAAGTCCCTGTTTGTCTGAGTTGTTTGTCCGCACGTGCAGCTTACAATTATATTCCTATAATCTATTTATAGCTCGGCAAGTTGTTCAATAAACTCTACATGACTGGAAAGGACGAACTCTACGCCGATGTATCCAATGCCATTCTGCATGATTTTCTACAAAGCAAAAGCTCAATCTACCGCCAAAAGTATGTTCGTGGACGTGCTGATGTAACACTACGCGTTTCCTATTCTATGTTCTGTCAAAGATTACTCTACCCGTACACTATCTATGAGCTGAATTTCTGCTGTATTCAGTTTATCGAGTCGTGTGGTGCGTTTGGTAACATCTTCCTGCGATTGCGATATTATTGTTTGTTTCAGCAGTTCATACTATACATATTTTAATATATATATATTTATATTTATATATATATATATATATATATATATATATATATGATGTATATATGTATGTGTGTATACGTATGTATATATATATATACTTATATATATATATATATATGTATGTATGTATGTATGTATATGTCTTTGTCTTTGTCTGTGTCTGTGTCTGTACTTCTATATATATATCTTATATATGTATGTATGTATGTATGTGGGTGTGGGTGTGTGTGTGTTTATGTATATATATATATCAAATATGTATGTGTATATATATATATGTGTGTGTGCGTATGTGTGTGTGCGCGCGTGTGTGTGTATGTGTATGTGTATATGTATATGTATATGTATATATATTACACACACATATATATATATATATATATATATATATATATAATTAGAGTCAATTTACACAGCTAGGTGACTTTGTATTACTTTGTTTCGCAGGTAGCTTTTCGTTGATCTCCAAAACACCGAAGGCGTTCTGTGATTTCGAAATTCGAAGTGTATAGATCAGGAGCTTTTGCTAGTCTCTACACTCACTAATCATAATTGCATACATCGCGTCGATATTCGATGCTAAATACTTGGTAGTTGCCTGGTGTAAGTCCGCTTCCTCTGTCCAATGATGTGCACTTGACCCTCCATATGCTCTGAATATATTCGAGCTTTGTATGTATCTAATTCGTGTGCTCTCCCACTTGTTTTTTTTTTTCATACAATTGTGCACTGTATACTATCGATCTCTATGCAGTTATATATACTTGTGCATCTGTACTTTTGGCATATGTTCGATCGTAAATTCGCTTGTATTCATGAAATGTGTACACACACTATGTGTGTGTGTGCCCAGTTATGCACATTTGTGCGTTGGTATACTTCGCATATATATTCTCTCGTAACCACATGTACACTCACCACATATATATTCTCTCTCTCTCCATCTCTCTCTTTCTCTCTCTCTCGCTATGCAGCTATGTGCACTTGTGCTACCACCTAGCCTCGGTTTGCGACGCCGAAGTGTTCCGCGAGGTTTTCCTGACCAAGTTGACCAATCTCGCCACAGACAAAGTTCCAAATGTGCGCATCTCACTGGCTGTCTTGATTCCCGAATTAGCACATTCCGGTATGTATCCTTTGCTTTACTGTACATTTTATTCTCGTTAAAATATGAAGGTGATTATCAATGTGGATCACTTGTTATCAATGTGGATCTCTGGAAATTATTCTAATCTGTTCCCGTCAGACCCCACTAGTATACTTTTGGTGGTGTATTGCTCGACTTTTCTTGCTGCTCGTTATGTTAGCTGACTTAGGTGGGTTGTATGGAGCATAAGTAGCTAGTATTATAGTGTTTGTGGGTGGACCTAGAAGAATCTTAATCGTTCAATTATTTCCCTTTTTCTCTTCTCGTCAGACATAGTGGTTTGCCTGTTGGCTTTGCCATTTGTCGTTATAGTTTAGTATTGGCGCATAAACTCGAACGTTACGTTCTTCGCCCTGTCTTTTTACCGACAATCCCGTGTTCACTTACGATTCGTCATCTTTTTCTGCTACACCGAATCCCATCGTAATTCATTCCTGACACTCATCCTGACCCAATATGTATGGGCCGTATTACAGAGATATATGGCAAGGATCCTAGTGTGCTCGAAATCATTGATATCTTGAAGAAGGATTCGGACAAGGATGTGCAGGCGTGCATCAGCACCTACGTGGCGGTCTAAACACGACGGTGCGCTGGGGGCAGATACTTTGGGTCAATTCGTAGTACGTTTGGCTCGATGGGTCAGGATGTGATTGCTGCCGGCAACACATACGCCCACGCACAAGGTTCTCGTGAGGACGTTGCGCAAATCCCACACCGAACGGACGGGGCGACGACAGCAAGTCAGAACAGCCTGTTTGATGGTTTTCGACATGTGCAGAACGCCAATACAACTCATGGGCTGGTCAGCTGCTGCCGCGGCTGTTTATTCTCGAGCGTGGTATAACAGGGTGCCGCCAGTTGCACCCGAGCGGCTAAGACAGACACTTTGCAAGCGTGTCGGTAGGGGCGTGGTAGACCTTACATCGTTACGATCAGTACCATCTAGGAGCGGCGCCGTGGCGGGTATCAGTGTAGGATGATGTTGTGCGTAAAATTACATGGTTCCTGTGCCACTTCTCCTTGCTTACCTGCAGCCGGGGTGTTTCCAACGCCAAACAGTGGTGTGCAGGCATAGAATAAATATGGGAGGCATTGACGATCGGAATAAAGCGGAACTTCTACTGGATTTATCACTTGACTTCTGGCATATTCGAGATGTATAGAGTTTAGAGTTTAGCTTAGGGGTGGGTTTACAATCTGAAACAAAGCCTTCTGCACCTTGAATTCGCAGTGAATGGATACAAGTACTTAGCTGCTATCAGATACATCGGGTAGATTTTAATGTATATAGTGTAATTTGCTGGATCTCCAGTGCAACAGCAATCCCGCAGTAGTTTGCGTGCGTGCTTGAATATATCGTATACCTCGATATACTGTCATATCTTACAACTAAAAGTAGTATTCTTTTCTAGTTCGCCTGCGATTTACCACGCCCATCTCAATCACACGTCCAGAAAAACATGATTGCGTTTCCGAATACCGTTTCAAAAGTATACGTGCCGCTTCAATGGTGATGCGCATAAGCTACCTAGGTAGATCAGGTATCCGTACCACAAAGTACGTCGTCAGCACTTGCATTGAAGAGCAAATCCCTCAAAATCGAAGCACTCTCTGAACACGACCTCTGCGACATACGCGACAATCAATAGAAACGGTGTTGTCACCCCGTCTTGGCGCTCTATAGCAAAGAGATATACCTATAACCTCCATCGCTTAAAGACACGCCACTGTGCCTCAAATACATCCAGAGCGTGTTTAAACATTCGTGCGCCGATAAACTCCCAAAAGCATAGCATTCTACGTTTAAACCAATAAACTCTTAGACAGCCGCTGTCGTGATCACATCAGGCGCTGTCGCATTCGATACAGGTGCGGTCGTGTTCGCCACAGTGCACATCTCAGCACCCACGGCCGGTTCCAGCACCGCAGAGTCGGCCAAGATGCGCTGGAGTGACACCACCGTGAGGTTCATAGCAAAATCAGGACACCCGCCCGTGGCCTCGGGGGCATCGACATAGTAGTAGATGTCCGGGGTGATGATAGATGCACTGCACTCGATGACCCAATCCGCCAACGCGGAGGTCTCATTACTTGTCGTGACCGACAGGGACTGGACAAACTCGCCATCGGAGAAGTTGGTGCACTGGTACGAATGGGTCTCGCCGTAAAACGAGTAGAACTGGTCAGACACGCTGTCGTACATCACTGAGGAGAAGGTGTTGTTCATATTGAGCTGGCCCATGTTTTGGGTCGCACCGTCGCTCTGCCACACCCCGGTCACGGCACTTGTGACGCCGTCGTTGGCAAATTCAGTGCCATTCGGATTCGCGTCTGAGGGTAGCACCACAGTGCTGCCATTGACACCCCCGATGGTTTGGTTCCCTGGGCTCAGTCCGGGTCCAGCTAGGTTGTTTACATCTACCACAGACGCCGCAGTGGCTACCGTGCATGTGAGAACGGCTGCTTTCGGCAGGGTGATACTATTGATAAATGTATCGGGAGGGTTTGTGAACCTGGCGACCTGGGGATCGGGACAAGCAGTGGAAGAGGTGTTCCAATACCACAGCCCCAAATTCAGGTCAACCTGGCCCAACTCGCAATGTTGCTCGTACACCACCGTGCCATTCCAGTAGATTGATCGTCGTTCGTACGTCGCGAAATACTGACCATCCACGAAGCCTGTGCACTCCCACGAGTGATACCTGCCCATATCCTGTCTGTACATATTCCCAGCCTCTCCCGTGTACACTGTCCACACAAACCCGCTCGGTTTCGCCAGTCCATATGATGTAGGCTGTACCCACGTGCCCTGTACATCCGTTGGACCTCCGAGGTTTTTAAACGTAGGGAAGCCGGCTTCTTCGGGAGTGCGGCGATAGTAAGGATGGTAGAAGAACATTGGCGCAAGGAACAACGGGAATATAAACGGATTGAAACCTCCCACAGGCCGAGTAGTGGGATAACCGCTAGGGATGCTTCCAGGGTTGGTCGACGGAGTATTGGTATTAGGGGAGCTGTAAGCAGGAGGCAGAGCATTGCCTGGCGCTGTAATAGATATAGTAATAGGAATGTGTGAGAGAATGCTCTATTGGTCTTTGAGAATGTGTGGACGTGAGGTAGTAGTAATACTTCGGGTACGACTGATTGTGATGTGCGCACATGGCTGCTTGGATACAAACACATCTCCAGGTCCAGATACAGTGCAAACAACCCCACAAGGTGCTGTTCAACTCACACACACACAGGTACTGCTTTCTTTCCGTGTATCACTACACGATTCGTGGTACCAACTATACTATCACGTACTCGAAACAACCACATTGATCAACTTAACAAATATTAAATACACAATGACACAGCACCGATCGCTCTCCTATCGTTATTGAGTGTGCAACTTAGAGCTGCTATTGTATCACGTAGGTGAGACAAGTACAACGCACAAGTCAGCACACATAGATGCACATCAACAATATATAAAAACACACGCCTACCGTTATTGGGCGTGCTACCTGGAGCATGATACGCAGGTGGTGCAGTCCCAGGATTGTTCGTCGTAGGTGGTATGATAGCTGGGTTATTTACAGCTGGGGCGGGGGCAGTCACAGGGGTGTTTGTGCTGGGCGTGCTAGCACCACCCCCTACTCCTCCTTTCTTTGCCTCAGCTACTGGACTAAAGGCTATGAGATAGCATACTAATACCAGAAGCATATACTTCGTGAGCGTGCCGTGTGACATCGTGACCGATGGAACTTGAACTGCTTCCGGTATCTTTGTATATTCACGTATTATAAATACTGTTTGATTTCAGAACTGTGATTATACGTGTGCGTATATATATAAAAACGAGGTTCAAGAGAATTTATGCTAAATACGAAATCGATTCTAATATTAGACTCGGTACAAATAATATGTATGATGTGCAACGTTCATCCCAAAGCCATGACTCAGAGTCTGTGGCATTTTTAGTGCAACCTAGATTCTTACTGGTTTTGCCAAAATAGGAAATGGACACTTGCCCTATGCAGAATTGCGTATATTCATGCATCTTCTGTGAAGCTATGTATAGATCAGTAACTCAGACATCGCGGACATACACATCTATACATGTACGCAGTTGGCTGATAGTTTCTATATCGCATCCATACACAATACAGTATGTCACAATGCTACATATTCAGTCTCTTAGTAGGTATCCTACTAGTGTCTCTTGTAGACTGTCGCGGTTTCAGTTTGCGGGCACCCGACAAGATGAGTGTTGAAGAGCAGGCTATCATAGAAGATCTGGGTCTACTACCGCATCCAGGTGTGTATTTTGCGCCTTGAACTTGTCGAATATTTTTGTCTGCCTTATGTATCCGACAGCTTCTACTGCTTTGCATTTCGTCAATAATATATCGAGGAGATCGACTCACACGAACGGAACATCATTTTATATG